ATACAAGATTTGAATATAAGACATTTTAATTAGTAGTCAAAGTTCTTAATTAATAGATCAAGTTGAGTTGCTTATGAATAATTATTCTGTTAATAATAATATGAATGATGCAGCCTTAGGTGCATCAATGCGCAAAGGTTTGCTTAACATAGAGTTCAATGAAAAAAAAAATGAAAAACTTGATAAAAAAAAAAGATGCATTCTTAGGTGTTTAAATGATATCTAAAATGCTAGACATTCATTATAAAGATTAAATTCAAATTTTATTTGGGACAACTTTTTTGTTACTTTTTAAAGTAGCTTTTTAGTATAAAAATTTATTTTTTTGTTCGAAAAAGGGGCTTTAAGAATCAACAAAAAAGTCATTCCAATCAAATCATTAGACGCAACGAAAACACCAATAGTTGTTGACGCCTGAGAGTGATTTACTAAGAAGTCGCTTTAATGAGTTAGGACTACTTATGATCATTTGTTACGACTACTAATGGTTGTACATGGAAGCGACTTCTTTTTTTTCCAAAAAAAAAAGAAATGACCTTTTCAATTGTACGATTTATGTTATAGTCATAACTCATGATCACGAGCAAAAAGAGAGAAAAAAGCTAGCATCATAGAGTAGTTAGGGCAAAAATGTAACTAGAATAGTTGTATAAATACAATTATAATTTTAGGAAAAATATTTAAATATTTTTAAATGATTTGCAGGTATTCCACGTGGACCTAAAGATAGTTATTTTAGAATATTAAGTTAATATTATTTTCCTGTATTATTTATGTTGGCATCCTGGATACATTTAGTACTAGTATTCGCGGCGGTAGAGAAATATTTAGTTTAACGTCTTAGCATTGTACGAAGACTCAGCACACAAGCAGATAAGTGAGAGGGTGTAGCATTCATAAGAGACAACAAGAGTTTTTACGTGGAAACCCCTGAACACAAGGGGGAAAAAAACCACGGGCCTCAGGCCCAGTTTGAATGAATCCACTAGTATTGTAGTCGATTACAAATAAAAGCACTTCCTTGGGAGAAGGCCTTGGATTGATGTAGCAAGGTACATCTATAGATTGCATTAACATTGTAGAATTATATACAATGTTTGTTTGGTCAGAAGGATAGTAGTCGACAGGAGACCGGGGTCAGAAAGACCGTTGTCTGGTGATGGAAGGTCGGAGTGACCATAGTAGGCGACGGAGGTCGAAAGGACCGTAGTCGGATGGAACCGGGGTCAAGCAAGAACCGTTGTCTGGTGATGGAGGTCGCAGTGACCATAGTAGGCGCATGGAGGTTGAAAAGGACCGTAGTCGGCAGAAGACCGGGGTCAGAAAGACCGTTGTCTGTTGATGGAGGTCGGACAGACCGTAGTAGGCGACGCTAGACCTGAAAGACCGTAGTGTAGTAGGAGACCAGGGTCTGGAAGACCGTTGTTGGTGATGGAGGTCGCAGTGACCATAGTAGGCGACGGAGGTCAGAAGGACCGTAGTCGGCAGAAGACCGGGTCAGAAAGACCGTTGTCTGTTGATGGAGTCGGACAGACCGTAGTAGGCGACGTAGACCTAAAAACCGTAGTCGGTAGGGAACCAGGGTCTGAAGACCGTTGTCCTGGTGATCTGGAGTCGGACGGACGTTAGTAGGCGATAGAGGCCAAGAGGACCGTAGTCGGTAGGAGACCGGGGTCAGAAAGACCTGTGTCTGTTGATGGAGGTCGGACGGCTAGTAGGCGACGTAGACCTGAAAGACCGTAAGTCAGTAGGAGACCAGGGTCTGGAAGTCCGTTGTCTGGTGATGGAGGTCGGACGGCACCGTAGTAGGCGACAGAGGTCAGCAAGAGACCGATAGTCGCCAGGAGACAAGGAGTCAGGTGTTAGACCCAGTGTCACTTGGAAGATCGGGTTGTTGATGGTTTGCCTGAGTAGGACGTCGGGTCTGAACGTCGGGCCTTAAGCAGGATGTCGGGCCTTCACGGGACGTAGGACTGAACCGTCGGGCCTAAAGCAGGACGTGGGTCTTCAGCAGGACGTAGGGATGAAGACTTCGGTCGAGGCTTGGTGTGGTCCGGCGACGGTCCTTGCGGTGGTCCGGCGGGACTTCTGCGGTGGTCCGAGCGGCCGTCGAGGAGGAGCTTCCTCCTTCTCTTCTCCTTCTCTTCTCTTCCTTGCTTGGCCCCCTCTTGTGAAGAATGAGGGCCTCTATTTATAGATTTCTGGAGTGGCATGGCCCGTAAATAGGTGTGAGATCAAGGGCGAATAGGGAGTGGTTCGAATGGACGGGACCAGTGAACACCTTAGATTCGTGCACCGTTCGTTGGTCATTGTGAGCCTTAATGATGTCAGAATTCATAGATCTTGGGCTCGTTGATTCGTCTGTCGAGCCGTTCGATTCGATGTATAGCGCTTCAAAGAAATCGGAGACCGTTTGGTAACTCAAATTGCTGTTTGAACCTTCTGACACACTTGAGCCCTTGATTTGGATTCATTTGGGATCGGATTGGTTGAACTTGGTGTCCGCGGTTCGTATTTCGAGACGCTCAGTTTGACAGTAAGCTCGTTGAAATCAGAGTTCGGATGCTCCCGAATTAAATTTGAAGTTTCCAACTAGCCTTTTGCCTCGAGATTCGTGTCCGATCAAGATAATTTTTGCATGAGTATCAATTTATATTTAATATTTATACTGACAATAATAGACAATAACTAAATACTAACTACTTGTTCTTTTGAGCCAAGCTTAATCAACATTAAAATGAGAAAAAAATTGTAATAGGATTTGCGGATATAGTTTATATTAGAATACGACTACAAAAAATAATAAAAAACTGGATGGCTGATATAAAAAAAATATAAAGTTCAGACCTGAAATAAATTTTTGTATTTTTGGAACTTTTAGATATCTTTTAATTTTTTTTAATTTTCTGCATTTTATTATAATTCATTTTCTTATTTTGATAAAAATTATATTGAATTTTCTAATATAATATTTCTCTAAATTTCCATATATAATATTTATTTTTCTAGTAAAGTATTGATGCTCTAAAACCTCTTTTCAATTAGAAGTATAATGAGGCCGAGCTCTCATTATTGCGTGTTGGCTTTGCGTTTTATATTAGGATTATCAATTATTTGAAATTGTTTATGAGTATAATGTTCGTAGCAGTTTGTTCATTTATTATTATATTATATATATGTTTGATTGCACTTGCACTAAGTATATTGCATCAAATTTTAAATTTTAAAATAGTATTATTGTTGCGGGCTAGAATGTTCACGACAGTAAAGTACGAAAAGCTTCACGTCTTAGCGTTATATGAGTAACCAACACACAAATAGAGAAAAAAGAAATAACATAATTTTTTACTTGAAAACCCCTGAAGGAAAAAAACATTGGGTCATGTCCAGTTGAAATGATTTTAGTAATGTTTGAATAGATTACAAATGACTGATTCGTCATTGAAATTGAGGACGATCAAATACAACAATCAACCGTTTTATAATTAAGTTGAAATCTAGTGACGAACAAAGATTGGATGGAAATCTAATGATGTTCGGTGGCCGGACAAAAATCAAGTGTCAGTTGGCGGCAGAGCTGTAGGTCGAAGAGAGCTGTTGTTCAGGCATAAATTTGGTGACAGTCAGTGGTCAGGTGAAAGTATGTGGCAACTGGTGGTCGGGCAGAAGTCCGATGACAATTGACGGCCAGAAGGAAATTCGACAACAATTGATGGTCGAGTAGAAATCTGGTGATAGTCGGTGGCCGACGAAAGTCCGATGGCTGTAAGGAAATCCGGGGTCAGTCGGTGACTGTAAGGAAATTCGGGCCGGGGTCAGTCGGTGGCTGGGCAGAATTCTAGTGTTAGTAGGTAGCAGGGCAGGAGTCCGATGACGCAGCGGCCAGCGTTCGTACGTATTCGATCTGCAGGCACATTTATAATAAAACGCAATTTTTAAATGCCAATTGGATATTAATTAATAGTAAAATTAATTTTAATAATAATATACTAAACCTTTCGCTTCTGCTCTCTATGGCTGTATTGTTATCATTAATTCTGGCCTTACCCTCTTTGCGTGCATGTCATGACTTGATCACCGTTGATTGTTTCAGCTTGACAGAGCGCTTCACCCCGCCGGGCTTAGGGCATCTCCAACCGAGAACTCTATTTTTCACGGCAAAATAATGCAAAACTCCAAAATGCCGTGCGGCTGCTCCAATCGAACTCCATTTTAGGTGTTTCTGAGAAGGTAACGATCGTTCTCCTTTCGCGCGTTTTTCCGGTTGAGAGCCGAAAATGGCGTGGGTGAACAGTGCAACGGCAATATTGGCGTCGCACTGTTCACCTGCAAGTAGATGGCGGAAAATTTGGCGTTCGGTTGGAGCGACCGAATGACGCCATACGCTCGTCTGGGGTTCGGTTGGAGATGACCTTAGGTGGATTGGTGGGCTTGCTTGGTTGGGAATCCTCCATCCCAAATCCGAATCCCCTCTCATATGGCACGACTCTTTAAGTGGAGAGAAAAGAACTATGAGTCCTGCACATATGGGGATGATTGCTCGTAGACTCACTAAGAGATTAGTGCACATCACCAAACTCGTCACAAGCTGATGTGGCTGAGGTCCCATACCACTTTTCATAAAAATAAATACAGACCGCTTCTTTTTCATTCGTCGTTACTTCATTTTTCAGCGTTGAAACTGAAAATGTCAGCGTTGTTTTTTTCAACCTGACGGAACAACCCAAGCATTAATTAATCGACGAAAATGATTAAATTTTCAAATTAGTCAGCGGTAATTATTAATAATTATGTCATCATCAGCTAAAACCTTTAAAAACCTCCCATTTCTTCAAGGAAATCATAAACCGAGATACATCTTCATCAACTAAAATTTAATCATGTCTCGCGGCCAGTTTCTTACCTTTCTTTCTTCCTTCCTTTTGCTGCTACATGCATCGCAGCTTCTCGTGACAGCTCTTGCCGGCCATGCCGAGGCAACGGAGAAGGAGAAGAAGGCCTATATTGTTTATATGGGTGAGCGGCTGAAGATGGAGCCTCTATCAATAACATCACTTCATAAGAGTTTGCTAAATAGTGTAATTAAAAGGTAATTAATAAGCTAAGTAAGAAAATTAATCCATTGTTATTTAGTTCTAATGCCGAATGATTGCAGCGACGAAGGTGCATCTGCACGCTTAATCCATTCTTACGGCAAGAGCTTTAATGCCTTTGCAGCAATGCTCACAGAAAATGAAGCAGAGAGATTATCAAGTAATACTGTTTAAATTAGCAAAATTATTAAAAAAAATGTCATGGCGAGCTCATCTTAATCAAGATTCCTAATTGTGAAAATTCTCAGGCATGGATGAGGTGGTGTCTGTCTTCCCTAGCCAGCAAAGAGAGCTCCATACTACAAGATCATGGGACTTCATGTCCTTTCCAACGAGCGCAACTCATTCTGCTTTCGAGTCCGACGTTATCGTCGGCATGCTCGACACCGGAATATGGCCGGAATCTGAAAGCTTTGACGACGCCGGATTTGGTCCCCCACCGCATAAGTGGAAGGGCACCTGCCAAACATCAAACAACAATTTTACCTGTAACAAGTACGACTTCGAGCATATATAATCTATATGTCAAATACTAATCGTTCTAAAATCTGAACAAATTTGCAATATACAGCAAAATCATTGGAGCACGCTACTACCACCTTGTAGGAAGCATAAGAGGGGAAAACATCCCATCCCCACGCGACTCTGAAGGCCACGGCACTCACGCCGCCTCCACAGCCGCCGGTCGGTTGGTCGCCAATGCCAGCCTCTCTGGCCTCGCTGAAGGCACTGCTCGTGGCGGCGTTCCTTCGGCTCGCCTCGCGGTGTACAAGGTATGCTGGAAATATCAGGGCTGCTCTGACGTCGACGTCCTCTCAGGATTCGACGATGCCATTGCAGATGGAGTCGACATCATTTCCATTTCCGTTGGTTCGAATTCCCCTATTCAGAAATATTTCTCGGATCCAATTGCCATCGGAAGCTTCCACGCAGTGAAGAATGGGATACTGGTGTCGAGCTCGGCCGGGAACAATGGTCCACATAGGTACACTGTAGTGAACTCCGCTCCGTGGATATTGACCGTAGCGGCGAGCACTATTGACCGCAAGTTTATTGCTCAAGTCAAGCTTGGCAATGGCGATGTTTATCAGGTTTGACTCTATCATAGTATCATGATTCTAATTTTATAATTCTCATAGTGTGTTTCTCCTCTAATTTTATATTAAAAATGTTTTAATACTGTGTTCGTTGATCTGAGCATTTTTAAATATAATTCTCCAATTTCACGATGGCAGGGCGTGGCTTTGAACACAGGTGGTTCCATTGATGGTACTTTATACCCTCTAATAAAAGCGTCAGATGCTCCCAACACATCAGCTGGCTTCGACGCATCATCCGCCAAGTAAAGAGAAATATAACAGTCCTTAAACAAAATCTCTACACATACATAAAAAAAGAATGATTTTTATGCAAAAAATTCTTGCAGGTATTGCAATAAAGGATCTCTGGACGAAGATTTGACCCAGGGTAAGGTAGTCATATGTGAGCACTTCAACATTGGCCTTGGGCCGCAGGTTGCAGGTGCTGTCGGGGCAATTATGCCACCAGTAGATACAGTAATTAGCGACTACGCCATGCAGTTTAAGCTTCCTGCCTCTGAGTTGGAAGTTGATGAAGTCGCTAAAATCCTACGATATTCTAACACAACAAGGTTTGTCTCACTTGATCTTGTAACTGAACATAACTAATAATGTTTTATTTTATTTTTCATTTTTCTGATCTTTTTGATAGTCATCCAATGGCGAGTGTTGGAAAGAGTGAGGGGGTGTTCGATGGCCATGCGCCTTACGTTGTCTCTTTCTCTTCTCGTGGGCCAAATCCTGTTACATCTAATTTGCTCAAGGTAATTAATATTTACTCCATGAAAATAAGTAAATGCTTCTCTGGCCTGGTTTGATGAGAGTGGATATGAATTTGCATGCAGCCTGATTTAACGGCACCAGGAGTTGATATCTTAGCTGCATGGTCTCCAATGGCCTCGCAAAAATCTACATTGTATAATATTATTTCTGGAACATCTATGGCTTGTCCTCATGTTAGTGGCTCTGCTGCTTACATCAAGTCATTTAACCCATCTTGGTCTCCTGCTGCAATCAAGTCTGCTCTGATAACCACCGGTACTTCTTCACTTTAAACACTGTTATTTTGGCTTTTTTTCTACTAAAAAGTTGTTTTAAGAAACCTTAAAGAAATTCGTGTTTTAGTTGTTTTAAGAAAACTTAAGAAATTCGTGCCAAACGAAGCCTTAATTTCATATTTGTTGAACACTTTGTTGCTTTCTTGCAGCATTCGTCATGAGCTCTAAAAAGAACCCCGAAGCCGAATTTGCATATGGAGCAGGGCATGTAAATCCCATGAGAGCGTTAAAGCCTGGCCTTGTCTATGATGCGGATGAGACTGATTATGTAAAGTTTCTATGTGGTCAAGGCTACACCACTGTAAACCTTAGAAAAATAACTGGAGACTCAAGTAGCTGTACTTCTGAAACAAATGAGCCTATCTTTGATCTCAACTATCCCACTTTTGCTTTAACAATCACAAAGGGAAAACCATTTTCAGCAACATTTCATAGAACCATCACTAATGTGGGGGATTCAAATTCCAACTATAAGGTCAATGTGACTGCTCCTTCTGGGCTCAAGATTACTGTCGACCCCCAAATCTTGTCATTTCAAAGCCTTCTTGAGAAGAAATCCTTTGAGGTAAAATTGGAAGGAGAAACCAACGAGGCTTTGCTCTCAGCTAGTTTGGTGTGGAGTGATGGCGTGCATGATGTGAGAAGCCCCATTGTCGTGTATACTGCATAAATATTAGCTTATAATGAGGATGAAATTATCGGCATAGATTTGTGTGGTTTTTTATTTAAAAAGTTTCATTTGTTTTGACTTGTTATCCATGTTTGTTTGGGCTTGTATGAATTTACTATTTGTCTTATATCAATAAAGTTGTTTATGATTGATATAAACCCAAGTAATTATACTTTTGGTATGAATTATGTTTGCTCATGAAATCTAGGAATTGTTATAGGAGTTATTTCATTCACTAACATCTTAGTTATTTGATTCATTGACATCTTTGAATATTAAATTTATAAATGAATATTATGTTCCATGGATATTTTGAAATCAACACTTCTCTCTTTATAATCAAGAATATATATATATATATATATATTTTGGTTAGAAATGAAGTTCGGTTGGAGAAAAACACTTGGGGCAACCTTTTTAATGCTTCTTAAAGCAGCTTTCTAATTAAAAAGAGAATGTTGGTATGTATGTTTGATCAGCAAGAAAATAGTCTGCCGGCAATGGAGGTCAAAAAGATCGTAGTAAGATAATAGTGATTGGATGGAGCGTCATCAAACAATGAGAGTTGAACATAAAAGATGCCACCCTTCCTCTAACCCCAACTACCCGAGTCAGGCTTTACACATAATTCATTTTATTATTTTAATATCATCCAACATTTTTTTTAGTAAACCAAATAATTCTATATATTTCAAATATAACATTTCCTCTATTCTTCCAATCCATCAGCCCCTTAATGCAATTCCCCGTTCATATAATTGTCGACAGTTTCCCCGCACACAATATAAAATTGTTGACGGGTCGCAATTTACAACTCATTTGTTGCCGCAGGTCGGATTTCGTTGAAATCGCTCTTCATCCACGTCTCTCGTCGCCCATTGGCTATGCGAATCACGCCGGCTCTTTTTTCCCACCGTCCTCTCTGTGTCATCAACATTCCTCCGCCTGAGCTTTTCTCCAATCCTTTGAGAACGTGTTAGGGTTTTGTTGCTTCGAATTTTTTTTTTTTTGATTTGATCTTAACTTCATTCTAATCGGCGAACGAAGAGATCAGGCTGAGCGGGAGTTCCAATGGGGCATAGAGTGGATCATGAATACGATTACCTCTTCAAGATCGTTATGATCGGTGATTCTGGAGTCGAAAAATCCAATATACTGTCGAGATATACGCGCGCGGAACGAGTTCTGTTTGGAGTCTAAATCCACCATTGGGGTGGAATTCGCAACAAAGACGCTCCAGGTGAGATAGTCTATTGATTCCGATTCCGATTTGGTAAAAGGTTGCAGAGATCTGTTTTTCGTTGCACCTGATGCCGAATGCTTTATGATTTAATGCAAATCTTATGGAATTAATGTAGTGTTGGAAAGTTAACTATAAGCTTATGGAGTAGGATATCTTGTGTGAAAGCAAATGATTGCTTCCTTTATTGTGGAGATCTGACATGGTAGCTTAATTATTTGTCCGAAGATCTATATTTAATCTTCAGTAACGAATGGGTTTTACCCTGGAATTGATCATTAGTAATTCGTATAAAAGGCAATTCTAGCTCATGTTTTTAAGACATTATTTTACATTTAGGTTCTGATCTGCTAGTACTGTCAAACTCTTTATGAGTATCACCTAACACAACCTTTTAACATTATATTGGTCTTGCAATCAATAGATCTACGGACTTATATGACAATTACTACGTTTTTCAGGGTGGAAAATGTCAATTGCTCAAAATTCATTTTTTTTTGTGGCTGTACTGTTTTTGTCTTAATTTTGTTTTGGTTTTCTTACATTCCAACTAATAACAGCATACATTTTTTGCCCCAAAATAGCAATTTATTTTTTTATTATCTTTTTTTTTTCTGTTTTTATTTATTTATTTTGCATTCAAGATCATGATTGTGCTATATAACTAATCTAGTGATCATCATGTATTGTACATTATCAATATGCATTTTTTAGAAAAGTTTCTTCGATCATTTGAATAAAGTCATCAAACATGACTTTCCTTTCACATTCTTGTATCAAATCCAGTTTTTCTAAATTTTGAATTAATTATCTTTTTGGAAAGTATTTGTTGGGATTCTCGGAGAGAGATGGGAGAGAAGGAGAGGGGAGCGAGAGCTCACGGGATTTGTGGAGAGAAAACAACACTGAATCTCATTTCTTTTTTGTCTTAGTGTCCTTATTGCAGACTATTGCACCTATTTATAGACACCAATGATAATACAAACCTACACAAGAACCTAAAGAAAGTACTGTTGACCCCTACAACCAGCCCGAATTTTAAATTTGATAAAAAAAGATTCAATTTGAATATGGATTGCATTAAATTTGATTATGCACTAGTCGAGGAAGCAAAATAAAATGACAAACACCAAGTTTCTATTAGTGGGGGATGATTTGTACAGAAATATTTCTCTTCTATTTATAATGGGCCGTGGTGGTATGTGCAAGACAGTGCTCTTACAACCTGTTTATGAAAATGGAATGACAAAGGAATTTGACCTTAAAATGTATGTTTGTGTTTCCAACAACTTTGATGTGAAAAAAGTCATTGGACATATGTTGGAATCTCTTAAGAAGGAGAGACCTCGTTTGGAAACGCTTAAGGCACGTCAGGATAGCCTTTGGATTGAAATCATGTCCAAAAAGTTCTTGTGCTAGATGACATTTTGGGAGGATGATGAGAAGCAGGATAAACTCGTTTCGGTCGCTCTGCCGTCGCCTCCGCTCGCGACCGACTTCCGTTTATCGCCGCCGACGATGCATCTCTGATTGCCGACCCCAATCCGACTGCCGACGCCGTATCTCCGACCTCCGACCGTCGTCGATCTCACTTCGGATCTCACGCCACCGACAAGTGTTTCCTACGCGATTTTTACCGGCGGTTTGAATGCCGCCGCAAAGCCGCCAGTAATAAAAAAACCGCCGGTGTAGCCATACGAACCGCCGGAGAAAACCGCCGATTTTTTGCATTTTTCCTGTAGTGTGCTAAGTTGGCCTCTTCTTTGAGCCAAGCTCTTTGCTGTTTCAACAAATCTGGATAATTCTTCTTGAAGTGTCTCTCTTTATGGCAATAGAAGCACTTCCTGCTTCTTACTGGACTTATTCCTCTGAACTCTGGTCTTCCTCTTGCAATCAGAATATTGCCAATATATATTTTATTCTTTATGTTCAGATTTTCTCTAAACATTCTTTGTCATCAAGACAAATTTTACTTGTCATTGTTAATGTTTGATTCTCATAAAACATAGTGTCAACTATGTGCTCATATGTCTCCGGCAAAGAGCCGAGGAGTATAATTCCTTGATCTTCTTTGTATATTGTCAAATCAACATTTTTGAGATAAAGAATTAGCTTATTAAAATCATCCACATGTTTTCTAATATCTTTGGAGTTTGGACTATTCCATTAGAAACATATACAATTGTTTTTCCAAGAACAATCAATTTGGAAGGGATCTCTTTAGATATAGATATTATAATTTTTGCCATACCTCTGAACCTTCAACAATCTCTCTCAACACTTCGTCACCAAGAGAAAGGAGAATAGTGACGTGTGCCTTTAGCTGTATCTCTCTTGCCCTTATTATACACGTGAAACAATATTCTCCTCAGAAATGGCATCGGAAAGGCTTTGATGAACTAGTACAAGCCTTTATTTTAATTCTCCATAGGTTGAAATCATTCTCCCCATTCAACTTGTCGATTTAGAACCTTTACATCGACATGATCAAGAAAATAGAACTCGATATGTGCCCCAACGGTACCAACCTGCTCTCATGCACATGATCTTACTGGAAATAGCCAAGAAAATCTCCTTCCTGCTTGTGTCCGACCCCAAAAAAACACGTGAATGGCACCGACTGCTCCGAGCTCCCAATCATGGAACCAAATTGCGTCTGCCGCTCCCACTCGCGACCCCGACCCACTTCGCCTTTGCATGCAGCCTCCTGCTCCCTGCGGCCCGTTTGACCTCACGTAGACCTATCCGATTAAGTCACTCGCAAATGCAATTGTCAGCCTGTATGCCCTAGTAAGCCACGCGCGACCACACATCAAGCACTAACAATCACGTGATATCCTCATTCAAACCCAATATGACCAACCAATATTTGTATTTTGCTCGTCTGCACGCGTGGGACTTGCGCCTTCCACAGTCTTGCCCGCCACCTTGCACCTTTCCACAAACCTGCAGCCCCGCCTTCCACGTGAATCTAGGCACGTGAATGTCCAGCTCGTGCTTGATCGACTTCGTCCAAGATCCGCACACCATTTACGATCCCACTTGGCCCGCCACCACGAGCGTGCACGACCCGATCCGCTTTCCCAACTCCAGTCATTCTCCGCCTCTCGCACGCTTGTGCCTGCTCGCGATCAGACTTCCATTTTCACCAACACGAACATGCTATCGATCGATCTGCACAATCTGCCCTCCTACACCTCCACTAGGCTCTGATACAAATTTGTTGGGATTCTTGGAGAGAAATGGGAGAGGGAGAGCTCACAAGATTTGTGGAGAGAAACACAACACTAAATCTTATTTCTTTTTTCGGCTTAGTGTCCTTATTACTGACTATTGTATCTATTTATAGACACCAATGGCAATGCAAAACTACATAAAAATTTAAAGAAAGCCAAAAAACTAACAGAAATATGGACCAATAGCCTAGCAATATTATATTTGAATTTGAATTTGAATTAATAAGCAATAAATAAAATTAGGGATAATTTTAAATTATTTGTTCTTTTCTTTGTAATCCCATTTCTATAAATAATGATTCGTGAGTTGAATTTTGGATCAATTAATTGATGAATTAAAATAGAAACTCTCTCTTTTCTACTCTTATTCTCCAATTTCTATATATTTTCACTATCAATGTACATAAAATTGGCTTAAAAGGATTGGATTTTATAGCGCTTACTCATTTATAGTAAAAATAATTTCGCATCCTTAGCCTATTTTCAAATACCACCTCTACGTACACAAATACCACCTTCTACGGACAAGCACTTAGCCCAACTATGCAGTGAGCACTTCTACTAAACATTTTGGTAAGCACCTGTGGCAAACAACTTCAGCGATCATTAATGGCAACCAACTCTTTTGTTGATTATCAGTGGACAGTCCAACACCATGCAACCATTATAGAACTACTTCTATGACCATAATTGTTGATAAAGTCTGCAATCATTGCTGACAATTGATTCCAACCACTTTCCGTTACATGAGTACATGAATACATAATGGTCGTTTCTGCACTTTTAATATTGTCGAAGGGCCATGCATCAAGTCCTTTGTTGGCTTAGCCTTGTTTATTTTGCTATTGGAGTTTCTTAACCAGGTTGTGAGAAGCATTTATGGCCTTTTTAACAATCATATTTGGAAAGCCATGGATCAAAATTCGCACGAGTTTTTAAGATAATTTCTATGTTTGATGATATTGAAATCCTTTTTATCAAATCATCTTCATCATGGACATCACCATAATATAGTAGTAATTAGGAAATTTTGGTTATTTTCTATGTGAAGTTGAGCATCCACATAAAGCTTTGTTCAAATCCTCACCATAATAGCAAAACGGAGAAATTGACATCCACTACAACCACAACTTTTGTTAATCCAAGAAAGCACAACGCGAAAAATTTCAAATCTGGCAAATTTTCACCTAAAAATCTTTTTTGGTAATGACTTGCGGATGTCTTGTATGAAAAAGGAAGAAGAGACTAGTTAAGAGATGCAACCCTCTTGCTTTGAAGAAGGTTAGTTCGAAGGAAACAAAAATTTATTTGATCTCGATTTGATGATGGACCATTAATTGATGAAGATTTCATCTTGATCTTCTTCTTCCTTCTCTTGATGCATGTTTAATTTAGCCTTAAGGGAATTGAAGAGGGGGAGTTTTAGAGAACAAAGAAGAGGTAGGAACCTATTTTACTTAGCACGTCACTTAGTGTACTGGTATCATAACAATATCGGACGGAGTAGACAAAAACATTGAAATGAGAAAGTGAGACTGCAAGGAGAGGGAATCCCGTTGAATAGAGAGAGATTGATGGATAAGCAAAATTGGAGGAGGTGGGAGAGCATTATGGAAGGAAATCCTTTCAAGTGAAATTCATCATTCAATAATCAAAATAATATATTCTCAACTCCTATTCGTAGGAATAAGATTTGCAAGATAAAATTAACTAATTTAACTTAAAATTTTGTTTATTCTTATGATAATCTAAACAATTAAATGTAATAAAACTAAAATAAATTGTAAACTAATTCAACATATAGGTATGCTATAAAAGTAAATCTTTTATGTGCATTAGTGGTCCCAAAATCTCCCTAGGAATGCACATGTGGAAGGAGTTTAGGAGCAAACAAAGGTGGATTGTTGAAGAAGTGTTGGACAGTCCGAATCTCTTATTCTTCCCATAGGCCAGGCTACCTAAAAAACATGAAGTTGAACGTTTTTTGAACTCGGAGGCTTATTGCTCGGGGTGTTGAAGTGAACTTGCTGAATATTCTCTATGAAGAAAAAAGCAATGATATAGGAGGCACAACTGATAGGACTAAGGTTTTTTTTTTAAGGGACATTTAGGTCAATTAAGGCAAACTCACATACACATCACATACGCGAGACTCGAACCTAATGCCTCTTGGTTGAAAATCAAATCTCCCAACCAACAGACCAAGATGAGTTGCATATAAGACTAAGGTTTACTAGCATGAATGTTAATACCAATAGCCCTACGGCCTATAACCCGTGTTCCATTGAGAAGCCAAAAAATGACCGGCAGCTGTGGAGATGTTAGTTTGTGAATATAAGGTGGATTTCGTCCATCTCCAGCAACAGAGTCTTACTCTACATCACTAACACCTGAAACTCTTAAACATGATTGACTACGTAATGATTGTGAAACTCAATGAAATTCAGATTGTCATAATATGCATTTCAGAAGTGATGGAAGATGGGATGGAACAGAGGAAGTTTGTTTTAGGAAAGGGTCCTCTATTAGGGAAAAAAAGTTGTGAATGAAAAAAAAAAAAAGTTTCCTCTAATTGGACAATAGTTTGTTTGCTGCCATAGAAATTTTCAAAGACGTATAATATGCTCTTATAAGTGGAAGGTAATTAGGTAAACTATATTTTCCATAAAGGTAATTTAGTTTTGCGCTTTATGCCAGAAACAAATGAAAGGCATGTTTGAACCAACAAAAAATATATATTAATTAGCAGACTTTTGATTCAAATAGTAATTTTTTTGTATCAACTTCATTGTTGAATAGCATGATCTTCACCTTACATTTGGATATATTTCAAGGATTGCTGTCAATTTCCCTGTAGATTTATATGCGTACTGGCTATTTTTATAATTGTTAATTTTGAGGCATTATCTCGACTTATTTATGGAATTATGGAAACTGTTTTCAAACCAAAGGCAATGGTTTCTTGTCAAGCTCATTCCTGAAAAGTATGAAGTAAAACCTTATGTTTGAACATTTTTTAATACACCCTTTCAAGAAATTGGAATGATTTTTGCTAGTACGTGTAATAGTGTGAGATATTTTTCAAGGCATCATCAATTGGAAGGACTGTGGAGAACCCAATTTATCAAACATGTGATTACAAAAAGGGTTAAATGCTTGATATATTGGTTGTACAATTTAGGAATTATGTCATGAAATTATTAGGTTGATTTGATACAAAATGGATTGAAAAAAAAATTAGATAAGAATACTTTTTGTTTTTTTAATTTGGTACATGCAGAATTTAATATACAATAAACCACTATCTAGTTTTTATGTAAGGTATTGTTTATCATTGCAGTGATAGAGAGTGAGACTTTTAGTTCATTCATTGGCAGTAAGGTTTATGTCATAACAATTCATTTGGCATTTGTGTTAGATGTTTCATGCCACATATTTTTATGTTCTATTATGAGCAAAAGAAATGCAATCATCATCCTTATTAAGATTGGCTTTATGAATCCTTATTATTCATTTAGTCATGAGCAAATGATGTGTGGTGCCATAAGAAAATCACAAATGCTTGGAATGAGGTAATCTTATGTAGGATGAGTTTGGATTATTTTGAAGAGTAAAACATATTAGGATATTTTTGTCATTAATTCAACCAAAAGCTCGTTACGTCATTAATAGTTACTAGCATTGATTAACATAAGAGGTTATAAGTTTAACAAAGATGATATCTTCATTTTTGTATATAAGAACAAGAGTGACAAATAGATAAGATGATACTATAAAGAAGTAAAAACAATGAAAACATAAATGAAAATGAATAAGAAATGGTCTAACATATATAGGTAAAAACTATAACATTGCTCAAAGGCATGATAATAATAAAAATAAATAAAATTAGACATCAACATCTCATCATACTTATGAACACTCATACATTGACTCTTATAGGTGCAACATAGATGATCCTAAATGTATAATCTAAAATCATGAAATATTTTTTTGAGTGTGATTTCTCTCTCTATTATATCCAGCTTGTTTCCTAGTCTCAGGGAATTTCTGCTCAGGTCAAATTTATTTCAAATTGCTGATTTCACTTCTGAAGGGGATAGATGTAATAATGCCAAGCTGTCATTTTTAATTTTATAGTGTTCTGTCGATTATATTTGGCGGGAATGCAATGAAAGGAAGTTTGCTTCTATTGCCAAAAGTTAATTTACTATGAAGGAGACTATTAAAAAAGTTGCCATCGTAAAGCTTTCAAGATGGAAGGATGGGGAACAACTCAAAAATAATTTCTATGGAGGGATTTATCATCAGGTATAATGGTGGCTGCTTACTCTTCTACTGCTGTTTGTTTTTTGATTGAGCCAGGTGATCATTTTTTGCGGATCAAATGGTTGTGGGGCTTTTGCATCGCCTTTTCCTGCTTATCATGATTTCCTCTTGTTGATCTTGGCTTTTTGGCTTTGAGATTGGTATTTTGGGGCGAGGATGAATGGATTGCATTCCCCTCCCCCAGATGATGACTTTTTGCAACTTGGTGCTCCTGGATGGCGATCTTCGCAACTGGGGAATTGCTTGGTGGATGCAATTCCTATATTGACCCTTTTGGTTGGTTGCAATTTTTTGTTTTCCTCAGCTCATTTTGTCTAGTGTTTTTACAACACTATTTTGGTTTTGAGCACTTTCTCTTCTTTTTGTTCTCGTTTATTTCTCTTTACTTTATTTGTAACTAGTTTTTATAATGGAATTGGCTTTGCCCTTAATTTTTCCAAAAAAAAAAAAGGGAAAATGGGGAAAAATAGGGCAGCTAGTGGATTAGACATCGTTTCGATCAAGATTAACTAGGAACTCAAAGCCAAGCGAGCGACATCTTGAATGAACCATGGATTATACTCCAAATTAGAGGCAACATCAATCAGAGCTGTTAGCTCTAGATAAGACAAAATTACATTTGTCTTGGATGACATTATTCACAAAAGAAAAAGGAGGTCAAGAAAGGCACAATCTTAAGAGGAATAAGACATGCATAAGAACATAGAATGCTCTTAGTTGGGAGGTGACGATGCAACCACAATGCACACCTAAGGCAAATCTGCTAGAATCAACGTAAAAACACCAAAGGTTATTGACGCATGAGAGGGACTTACTAAGAAGTCGCTTTTCATGTGTTTTGACTACTTTATGATCATTTGTTATGACTGCTAGAGGTGGTACATGCATGAAAGCGACTTCTTTTTTTTCCCAATAAAAGAAATCGCTTTCATGTATAATTTATGCCACCAATAGTCATAACTCATGATCACGAGCAAAAAAAAAAGAGAAAATTAGGGTTTAGGATTTAGGGTTTAAGATTTAGGGCATCATAGAGTAGTTAGGACATAAATGTAACTTGAATAGTTATATACATACAATTATAATTTTATTTAAAATGTTTAAATATTTTTAAATGATTTGCAAAGATAGGTATTCGAACGTGAACCTAAAGATAGGTATTATAGAATATTAAGTTAATATTATTTTCCTGTATTATTTATATTTAATATTATACTGACAATAATGACAACTAAAATACTAACTACTTGTTCTTTTGAGCCAAGCTTAATTAACACTAAAATGGGGAAAAAAATTGTAATAGGATTTGCGGATATATGTTATATTAGAATACGAATAAAAAATAATAAAGAAATGTATGGCTGATATTAAAAATATATAAAGTTCAAACCTGAAAAAAATTTGTATTTTTGAAACTTTTAGATATCTTTTATTTTTTTATTTATTTTCTGCATTTTATTATATCATTTTCTTATTTTGATAAAAATTATATTTGAATTTTCTAATATAATATTTCTCTAGTAAAGTAAGATGCTCTAAAACCTTTTCACTTGTAAATGAGCCGAGCTCCACTTATTGTGTGTTAGGGCTTGTTTTATAATTAGGATTATCATTTATTTGAAATTGTTTCATGAGAATAACGTTCGTACGCAGTTGTTTGTTTTTATATATATAAGTTTGGTTGCATGTGCACTAAATATATTGCATAAGATTTTAAATTTTAAAATAATATTATTGGTGCGGGCTAGAATGTTCACGGCGGTAAAGTATGAAAAATATTTCATGTCTTAGCATTGCATGAGTATCTAGCACACAAACAGATAAAAAAGAAATGCCATAATTTTTTACATGGAAAGCCTTGAAGGAAAAAAAACATTGGGCTATGCCCAATTAAAATGATTTAACTAGTGTTTGAATATATTACAAATAACTGATTCATTCTTTAAACTGAGGACGATCAAATACAACAGTCAACCATTGAGTTGAAATCTAGTGTTGAACAAAAATCAGTTGGAAATCTGACAATGTACGTCGGTGGTCGGACAAAAAATTAGTGTTTGTTGGTAGCAGAGCCGTAGTCCGAAGACAGCTGGTGGTCAGGCAGAAATTCAGTGACAGTCGGTGGACGGGTGGAAGTTCGTGGCAGCTGGTGGTCAGGCGGAAGTTCGTGGCAGCTGGTGGTCAGGCGGAAGTCCGATGATATTGGTGGCCAGACGGAAGTCAGACAACAACTAATGGTCGGGCAGAAATTCGGTGATTTTCGGTGGTCGACGAAAGTTCGGTGCTTGTCGATGGCTGGGAGGAAATCCAAGGTCAGTCGGTGGCTGGGCGTAATTCCAGTGTTAGTCAGTAGCAGGGCAGAAGTCTGATGACGGCGACGGTCGATGTTTCGACGGTGGTCGAGGAGTTTGGTTGCAAGAGAAATCTAATTTCTCTCTCTCTCTCTCTCTCTCCCTTGCTTGGGTTCCTTTCCATGAGGAATGAAAAGTTTATTTATAATTTTCTGAAAGTTGGTGGTCGGGCTATGTTACAGCTGGTGGTCGGGCTAAAGTCTTGCGTCAGTTGGCGGTTAGGTAGTAGTCCGACGACACTCGGTGGCCGGACGGAAGTCTGGCGACTGTCGTTAGTCAGGTGGTCGGGCAGAAGCCCGACTCCAGTCGGTGGCCGGCCATAAGTCATTGGCCGGGCAGAAGTCTGACAATGGTCGGTAGTCGAGCGGTGGTTGAGGAGCCTTGTGGTTAGAGAATTCTGATTTTTCTTTCTTCATTCTCTCTCTTTTCTTTCTTGCTTGACTTTCTTTCAATGAAGAATAATAATCTATTTATAATTTTTTGGGAGTGTCGTGGTCACTAAATAGGAGGGATGCGTGAAGAATTATTCCACACTTATTAATGGGAATTATTGAGAGCATTAGAAAGACACAGCGGCCAGCGTCCCGATCTGCAGGCACATATATAATAAAACGCAATTTTTAAATGCCAATCGGATAATAATTAATAGTAAAATTAAAATAATATACTAAACCTTTCGCTGCTGCTCTCTTTGGCTGTATTGTTATTATTAATTGTGGCCTTACCCTCTCTGCGTGCATGTCATGACTTGATCACCGTTGCTTGTTTCAACCTGACAGAGCGCTTCTTCTTCCTTTGTCGTTGCTTCAGTTTTTCAACGTTGAAACTGAAAAAAATGTCAACGTTGTTTTTTTCAACCTGACGGAACAACCCAAGCTTTAACTAATCGACGAAAATGATTAAATTTTCAATTAGTCAGCGGTAATTATTAATAATTATGTCTTCATCAACTAATACCTTTAAAAACCTCACATTTCTTCTAGGAAATCATCAACTAAAATTTAATCATGTATCGCGGCCAGTTTCTTACCTTTCTTTCTTCCTTCCTTTTGCTGTTACAAGCATCGCAGCTTCTCGTGACAGCTCTTGCCGGCCATGCCGAGGCAACGGAGAAGGAGAAGAAGGCCTATATTGTTTATATGGGTGAGCGGCTGAAGAATATGGAGCCTCTATCAATACCATCACTTCATAAGAGTTTGCTAAATCAAGTAATTAAAAGGTAATTAATAAGCTAAGTAAGAAAATTAATCCATTGTTATTTTGTTCTAATGCCGAATGATTGCAGCGACGACGGTGCATCTACACGCTTAATCCATTCTTATGGCAAGAGCTTTAATGCCTTTGCAGCAATGCTCACAGAAAATGAAGCAGAGAGCTTATCAAGTAATACTGTTAAAATTATCAAAATAAATGTCATGGTTAGCTCATCTTAATCAAGATTCCTAATTGTGAATATTCTCAGACATGGATGAGGTGGTGTCTGTCTTCCCTAGCCAGCAAAGAGAGCTCCATACTACAAGATCATGGGACTTCATGTCCTTTCCAACGACCGCAACTCATTCAGCCTTCGAGTCCGACGTTATCATCGGCATGCTCGACACCGGAATATGGCCGGAATCCCAAAGCTTTGACGACGCCGGATTTGGCCCCCCACCGCATAAGTGGAAGGGCACCTGTCAAACATCAAACAACAATTTTACATGTAACAAGTACGATCTATATATATCAAATACTTAATTTTCGTTCTAAAATCTGAACAAATTTGCAATATACAGCAAAATCATTGGAGCACGTTACTACCACCTTGTAGGAAGCATAACAGGGGAAAACATCCCATCCCCACGCGACTCTCAAGGCCACGGCACTCACACCGCCTCCACCGCCGCCGGACGGTTGGTCGCCAATGCCAGCCTCTCTGGCCTCGCCGAAGGCACTGCTCGTGGCGGCGTTCCTTCGGCTCGCCTCGCGGTGTACAAGGTATGCTGGAAAAATCAGGGCTGCTCTGACGTCGACATCCTCGCAGGATTCGACGATGCCATTGCGGATGGGGTCGACATCATTTCCATTTCCGTTGGATGGTATGCCGCTATTCAGAAATATTTCTCGGATCCAATTGCCATCGGAAGCTTCCACGCTGTGAAGAATGGGATACTGGTGTCCAGCTCGGCCGGGAACACTGGTCCAGATAGGTACTCTGTGGTGAATTCCGCTCCGTGGATATTGACTGTAGCGGCGAGCACTATTGACCGCAAGTTTATTGCTCAAGTCAAGCTTGGCAATGGCGATGCTTATCAGGTTTGACTCTATCAAGCTTCTAATTTTATAATTCTGAACATTGTTAAATATAAGTAATTCTCCAATTTGACTGATGGCAGGGCGTGGCTTTGAACATAGATAGCTCCAATGGTACTTTGTACCCTCTAATAAAAGCGTCAGATGCTCCCAACACATCAGCTGGCTTCGACTCATCAACCGCTATGTAAAGAGACCTTAACTAAAATCTCTCTACACATACATCAATAAGGAATGATTTTTATGTAAAAAATTCTTGCAGGTATTGCAGTAAAGGATCTCTGGACGAAGATTTGACCCAGGGTAAGGTAGTCATATGTGAGCACTTCAACATTGGCCTTGGGCCGCAGGTTGCAGGTGCTGTCGGGGCAATTATGCCACCAGTTGATACAGTAATTAGCGACTACGCTATACAGTTTAAGCTTCCTGCCTCTGAGTTGGAAGTTGATGACGTCGATAAAATCATACGATATTCTAACACAACAAGGTTTGTCTCACTTGATCTTGTAATCAAGTTTGTGAAAATCTGATCGGACAACGAATCGGAAGAAGAAAATGTTCACAATTCGATCGGTAATACTGGGGTTTAATTGAATGATGTAATAAATAATTAAATTATTAAAAATTAATAAAATTAACATAATATAATATAAGTATATAAGCATTTAATAATATTTTTAAAATTTTAAAATATATAATAAAATTTTATACATATAAATATAATTTTTAAGAATAAGTTAATATAATAATTATATTTATAATATTAAAAATTT